ACATATTATATTAATATAATAAGTACCTACGTAAATATAATTCATGAGATAGGTAGTTGATATTTCAATTAAATACGACCGACACACATTTATCAGAAATAAAATTTGATACGAAAATCAATGCGTACGCGTAAAATATTGAGACACACTTCATTGTAATGAATTATGTAATAGCCATCAACTCAATACGAATATTATATTAAAAAACATTAGTGTCCATTATGTCATCGTTAATAATTATAAACCAACCGAAAAATTATCGCAATAATAATTGATCGCCGTATAGTTTTAAGCAATATATATTTACCAAAACAATAAAAATAATAACAATGCAAACTTGAATATTAAGTCTAAATTACGTTTTAATTAATACAAATTATGTGTAATAATAACGATCGAGTCTACCGATTTTCAATTATTATAAACTACTATAAATGTATCCATATTTTATGTTTAAAACTCAAGTTTGAAAATTATTCTTCGCAATGTCAATTACATGTTTAGTTTATGTCATAAAAAATACTAACTAGTATTGGATTTCATGATTATCGATGTACGATCAATAATAATAATTATAGTCATTCGGAAAATGATTTCGATCGAATTCCGTGCGTAGAATTGTTTATCTATCAACGTACAGTCACTAATATTACATTAATATCATCAGAATTGTTTGAATACTGTATCCATTAGTGTAATAATTATGTCGATCACTATGACGTTCCCGCGAAGACGTGAGTGTATACGCCTGTCATATTGTAGTACGAAGAGTGCAGAACGACTAATTATTGTGTCGGCAAAAAAATGATAAACATAATGTGTATGTTGATATAATTATCAACCGTTTGCATATATTAATTATATATCAAAAACAAAAGTTTCCGACGAACTCAACGTCAAAAACATCCCATACAAGATGCACATATTCAAAAGTACGCGAATATTTTGCATATAATATTATGTTATGGTTGCATTCAATTTGCATGCCGTCCCTTGAAAGGTTCAGTTCAAATTGCATATCATCTTTCAAAAAGGTTTGCGAGTTGCACGAGATTCATGAGTATAAAATGGGGCTATTTAATGTTATATATATTATTAATCGCATTACATTTTTAAAATATATATATATTTTAAATTTGTAATTAATTTTACAATTATTTATAAACTATGTTTGTGAATTTAATGTTTCTTCAATTGATTGGGATGTTTTTAAATTATTCGAATTAAAATTATGAAAAATGAAAAATTGTCATTTATGGAATCATAATAATATGTATACGGTATTCATTGTATAAATTCAAATTAAAAAAAAAATAAATATATTTATTATAAATTTTTCTTTATTATTATTAATAACGTGTAAAAGAATTTTTATGAGTATTAATGATCAAAGCTATACAACAATATATTGTACAACGTGTAGGCAACACACTGTACTACATTTATTATAGTTTTAAACATGATTAATATTCCACATGTTTGAAATGGAAATAAGTCACTGTCAATTAAAAAAAAAAAAAAGAACAAAAATAAATGTAAGGATCGCTCTTTTGTCTTTTTACTGCGTTTAAATTAAAAAATAAAATAAAATACCATTATTCTTTGTACAATTTGAGAACCCGTTAATGACATATCCAACACTTATACATTTTTTTCAATATTCAAAACAGAAATGTATAAATATCCAACGATAATGAAAAATTATTTTCGTCTATCACTCAAATTCATACTTGTACGATCAAATGTGCGTAATAATTAATTATGTTTTGTAAAATTTTCGATTCTGTTATAAAATATATTATAACCAGTAATCAGTTAATTAATAAATAAGTTTTTAATTTTTAAGAATTTTTGTGTGTAGATTATTTATGTCGATATTGATGGAGTTAGATTGAACAATAATATTTTCATATCTGGAGATAGGAAAATTTAAATACAAACGCAATCGATATTCTGACCCTAAACAAAAATTTTGTTTTAGGTGCAATTGCCCGGACACTTATACAATTTTTATAAATGGAAATATACTTGAATGATGAATACAATTTCGCGTAAAATTTTTATATTGTTAGAATATTTGGATTAATATATTAACTCGTGTAAAGTACTATATTAAATTCACATCATAATACTTAAAGACACAATCTAGATATTTAGTTTTAATAATCACTGAACACAGTCTTCCGAGTACCTGCTGTGTATAGGCTGCAATCGAGATTTGAAAATGGAATAAAAAGGGTTAAGTACTATTTGAGTACATTCAGGTGACCACTCGGGTGGTGACAGTAATAATTAGGAGTGAACATTTTTGGATGACGATCCGATAAATAGAGAATGAGTGTCTATTCTAATTGTTATAATCTGTGAAAATATTATTACCGACTATTCTTAAAGGTTTTTTTCTTAAAATAAGACTCAAACTAAAGCGTGGTCAGGACAGCTATAAGACCTCATTCGGTAGGCACACATATTTTAATAGCTCATTGATGATAATTTAATAATAATGATGTTTACAAAATATAAATAAAAGGTGAGTAGATGGTTTTTGAATTCTTTGCCACCAGTTCACCAATACATAATATATATATATATATATATATATATATACGCATTCAAACTGTCTGAATAAAGCACCTGATTAAAATGCCGCTACAAAGGTATCGAATAACCAAGTTGGTTAATCATTAAGTCTCTCCTTTCTAAAGCCATTCGCCTGTCGCGGTGCCTTTAATTTCGAAAATTGGATTACACGCACGCCGAATATGTATATTAGAACTGCGGCGCGGACTCGCGGATAAATTAGCGGGTTGGCTCGTCTATTGCATACTAAATTTTTGTCGGATATTTATGTCACGCGTACACCCACCCAAACGTACAAATGTATATATATATATATTTACTGTTGCAGGTTTATCGTACACCTGCATACACGTGTAAGTATACTATATATTATAATACGTATGTGATATATTGCACGGCACGATCGCACTCATATTACGTATATATTATATTATATAGGTACGTGTGTATGGTGAATGTGTAATCATATACCACAGTAGTATTATAATAAATAATAAATATACACAGAGACACATGCATAAAGCATAAATGTAAGCCCAACGAAATAGATTTTTTTTCGGAGGGGGGGGGGGGGGTGTCGCTACACTTTTTTAATTCACATTTGTCATTCTTTCCCTCCAACCGGCTCTAATTTTTCAAAAAAAAAAAAAAAAAAACAATGCATCCATCTCTGGAGAAATTGTAATTTTGAGCGCGATACAATAATATTATTGTTTTTGTTTTGTTTTTTAAACAACACTAAAAAATAAAAACAAACCACAATATACGCATATAGACAAAAAAAAAAAAAGTCAACCGCAAAGATAGTGGTTAAGAAACTCGATAAGAAAAACGAGTACAAGCGCCCCGGATATCATTATTATTAGCTGTTGGTCACCTAAAAACCAGGGTTTACGTTTGAAAAAAGAATTTGTTATACGTTATTTTATAATCGTTTTAATCAACTTTTGCGTTTATATTCAGAATTAAAATTTTTAATAATTTTTTTAATTTATAACTATTCAATAATTGGAAATTACGAGTGGTTAGTTCTTTTAATGATATACTATATATAACGTTTTTTGTTTGACGATTTATCATATATTTTGTTAATCGTTATGTTTTGTTTTGTGTTATTTAATTATTCATGTTAATCGTTTTCCGTTATAATTACGTTTACAAATTTCAATCGTTTTTATCAAATATAACGTTATTATAAAGTTTGCAAGCCTTTCTAAAAACAGTATTCGTGCTTTCGTTACTATCTACCGCCGCGTTGTATCCAACACGCGTTATTAGTGTATCAAAACTAGCTGTATTATTATTTAATGTACGCTGTGCCTTCCCACAGTATAATTGCTCCCTCCCCCCAACTCTTTATATATAATATTTATGTACAATAATGCACCGGTCTAGCCGCTTTCAAGTCACCCGCAATAATGTATTTTAGGCATAAATCGTAACGGATCTCAAGTAGATATGATTGCAAAACAACAGCTCGGGCATATATAGTAGTGGGATAGGATAGGTATAAGAAATGATTTTTATTTCGAACAACATTTGATATATGATGTTCGTGCACCTAACCTAACCAACAGGCTAGGTTAAGTTAAGGGATGTCACGTGTTCTGCGAAAACTTAATCAACCGTTATGCATATTATGGACGTGGCGTAATATCATGTTATGTAGGGGCCGGAATTATATTCTTTTGCATATTTTTTTTTTAAGTTTATGTAGTCAGACGGGGGTTCAAAATCTTTAAAAATCATAAAAACAGATGAGTAAATGGCAAAATTTTGTTTTGCATATTTGAGAATATTTCAAGTTAAAACAATATTTCGTGTAATAAAGAATATTAGAGAGTATACCGATTAAGTTTTATAGATATTTATGGGCGTAGCTAGGATTTTAATCAAGGGGGCAGTTGATAACCTTTTTTTTTTGCTTTTTCCATTCATTGTATAGTAAAAACTTACATGTTTGATATGAACGTTCGATATTTTTTTAAAAAAAATTTCTTAGTTAAAAATTTAAAATAATTAAACATTAAATATTATTATAAATAATTTAATCAAACTTTTCTTAACATGTAGTATTTTTTATTATGTATCTATTTATATATATTTATTATTTTGCAAATAAATACATATCTTTAGTTCAAGAGAATATTTAAAAGAAGCATATTTTTTTGCATATTTTACTATGATTTTTAAAGAATATTGAAAGAATATTTTCTACTTTTTAAGTGAATATTAGCATCTTATTTTGGCTATTTCAAAAGAATATAATTCCGGTTCCTAGTTATAAGTATGCATGCAGATGATTCCGAGTGACGTCGATGTACTCGAGATAGAAAGCTGGGGAGTTTCATTCTCTGGAATAATAATAATAAAATGCCATACACACACACACACACATTCGCACGCGCTCGTTCAAGTACCTTTATGCTGTCGTAGCAGGCGGTGACACGACCATTTTGAACCTCCACGTTGGCAGCCGGGTGCGCAAACTTGCAATCCGTGTCAGGTCTGGAGCACTTGTTCCGCTGGTATTCCCGGCATACCTCCAATTGCAGCCATCTGGAATCCTTGCCGTTCAGCAAATTGTTCATGTTTACAACGGCCATATTATCGCTGTTGTCTGTGTTCTCTGTGAACGAAAGAAAAATACGTCTATTTTATTTTTCCGGACGTGTGCGTGCAGTGTATTTGTTTTTGGGCGCTTGAAGCGTTTCGAGACGGACTGTAAAGAAAATATCCGGTTGACGGAACTACCTGTCGCGTATAGTGCAAGAATGGCAATGAACGTGAGATTCGCTACACGTACACTATTGACGACTGCAGTGCTCACGCAGTGCTCACCGGACGTTATTGGTTGATCACCGTAGAGTGGACCGACGGTGGCAAACGATTTCTCCTCCCTCTCCGGTTTGATGTATTTTGTTTTCTTCTGTCCGTTTTTCGGCTCGCTGGGCGGTGTGCTGGGCGTCCCGTAACTTGCCTATGTGTACTGCAAGTAACGGTGGTGATGGTGGTCGTACGACACGTGCGATTGTGTTATAATATTATATTATAACGGACGAGGGCAGAAGCAGTCTGAAAAACATAAGTAAAACAGAACACATCGATATAGTTGCGATTCGTATGGATTATAATATTATGCTATGTAATAGCTAGTAGTAAATATTATACATTATATCGCATCATATGTGTGTATGTGTGTGTGTGTAATCGAATTATGACAACGAATTCTAAACATATTATTTATGTGCTATATTTGTTTTTATATTGAATTTTTTTTTTTTTTTTTTAAACCTCATAAAACTACCCTCTTCCACGAAATGAATAAGGGGAGGGGCAATTTAATCAATATATCAACGATTAGGCCCATTCAAGCCATCGTCGTGATATGTATCGCTATATACGAGTATACGAATAATAAATATTTTATCGAAAATAATATTGTGTGTATTTTATAAAATTATTTTCATCTATAGATTTTAGTATTATTATAAATTATATAGTTGTGGACTCGATGTCATGTCTCATTCCTATAGCTACTATTGTTGTCAATTATTAGAGTAAATAAAAAAAAAAAGCCACTTATACAAGAAACAATCCGCTCATTCATTTTTAATAAGTTTTTGTTGCTAGACGTGCCTATTATCGACGTCCGGCACACTTGTTTTGTATAATATATAATGTTTATGTACATAATATAATACGTGCCAATATAACATTAATTACACGATGTAATTGCAATTAGAACATAGTTAAGGCATTTATAATATAAAAATAAGTGATTTTTTCTAATGTTTGTGCGGGTCATTTTGATTATATATATATGTAAGACGGATCGACTGTATAAAACATTTTTTATTTAATAACCGTTTGAATTGTTTTTATTATTCCCCGCAGATCGAGTGACGAGTATTATAACACTATATAATAACTTTATCTCGCCCCCGAGTCGACCTAAATGTACCACACGAATACGCATTGTACAGAGGTTTCGATCTTAAGAAAATTCCCGCGTGTCCTTGTGTAAAGCATAATATTTTGCGATATTCAAATCGTCACTTTAACGAGTAAATTATTTTAGAGACGCAGTTGCATCGGTGCAGATCTCAGAAAACGTTTTGTTACTATTATTATAATGATAATAAGATGAGTTATTTAAATTAAATTTCAACGAGAGCTGGCGATTAAAGTCTACAGCAGTGGCAAATCGTGACGAGGCATAGATAATAATGGGTTCATAATATCATATTATAATGAATATGTCCCAGTTTCTTGCGATATCGGCTAAAAAAATATTACTACCTATTTTTATCATTCAAAATAACTCGCTGGACACGCTTTTCTGTCGTCCGCCTGCGTGGTTATTATACAAAAAGTTATATTTAGACATTTAAATAATATGTATTTATGCATTTAGGAGACACCCACTACAACTGTCTCATAATGTATATTATAAGTTGGTAAATTATAATGGGTACGTGTATATAGGTATACGCCAGTATAATAATAATAATAATATTATAATTCGTTAATTTTTAAAACATTCTAAAAGAACAGTTTTTTTCACACCAACCCACGAGTCTTTTATAAGTTTTGAAAACAGTCCTATATATTCGGCACGTGGTAGTTTTGCTGTCCCTGGTGCATACGAGGTTTATAGATGCAAGCAATGGTGGTGATGGCGACGGACCGTAACGGCGAGGGTTTTTTTTTTTTTTTTACTTTTCTGCGAGAAAAGGACCTTCGCCACGGTACGACGGGTGTGGAAGGAAAAAAAAAAACTGCTGCAGACGGCGGTCGGTGGCACACCGGGGGGAGCGTGACGCGAATTATAAGATTGCGGCGAAAACGTGTGTACGAGAATATAATCATTACAAAGGGGACGTGGTGGTCGTCGCTGTCGTCGTAGTCGTCGTCGGTGGAGCGTGCTCGAGAATTATTAAGAGCCGCCTAAAGACGCGCGTGAGGGAGCCACACACACACACTCATAGTGGTAAAGTCGTGTACAGTGTAAAGTACACCGCAAGTCGGTGTAATGTAATAAAGCGTATACTGTATATCGTGTATTTATGTGGGCATGGAGAAGGGGAGGATGGATAATGTGCCGTGCGACCGGACGAAAGCAAAATATGATTAGTTTGTGTCGTTAAGTCCACAACTCACGAATTATATTTAATAAATAATAATATGATATTGTTATCTTTTTCAGATGCTCGGGAGCGTCCAATATTGCACGACAACGTGTGACTACTGTAATCGTACGCCAACACAGGTACTATATTTCTAGTCGGAGTACTTTTTATAACAATCGAGGAATAAAATACAGATAGTTTTCAAAACGGTAATATTACTCGTGTTATTAAAATAACTGTTGGTAACCCTACTAACGAAATACTTAAAATAGTTTTCTGTATAAAAATGCAAGCAAGGTAAGTATATTATTGAATTAAAATTGAAAACATCCTGCAGTGACATAGATAATGACTAGATGCACTCGACGGGCATTCTCTGATTTTACCTCAAAGTGACTTTTTTTTCTGTTCAATATTCAGATGCCAGATTACGGCCCGTAAAAATTAGGTAGAAAATACTGTTATCTCATTTTCAGTGCTTATTAGAATTTAGAATTAAATAAATATTCCGATTTCGTCTTACGTATTTTAATGTAGATTTGTAGAATACAGCGCGTTCACGTTAGCTAACAATTTTCGGCGCGAATGGTGCAAAAAAAGCTGATAAACTTCAAGATCGCAAAAAAAAAAAAACATTGATTTCGAGTTGATGAAAATAATGAGTTCTATACTATTGTAATACACTTAACTAATTTCACAATGTACAACACGTATACCATTAAAGCATTTGAATATATTATTACTTAATGTGTTACATAAAAATATATATTTTTGATCATATCAATTATACTGTTATGAATCGACTGAATTTTATGATTTTAAGAGTTGATATTTGTGTAACGATGTATAAGAAATTAAATTACATTTTTGTTATTATTATATCTATTTTATTAATATACAACTACGTTATTTTGGAAACCAAATGTGTGCTCGGACATAATATGGATACTTATATTAGGGACATTTGGCATCTATTGAACCGCAGAACGATTATCTATTTGTTCACTTTTTTTACAACCATAAATATTTGATTTAAATTATTATTATTATTATAAAATGTGTAATACCTTCAGTTTTTTTTTTTTCATTCTTAGTTGCACCCTTATAAAATATATGTTATTGATGTTAGAAACCTGCACGCAAAACTACACCCACGAATCCCCTATACAATTAAGAACACGGTAAAAAAGTTGCAAAATAATTATCATAAATTAAAATTACTGCATTTATATTCTGACCGTTTTGTTTTACTTTTTTGTTTGTTTTTATTCGTGCAAGACGACCATGACCAAAACTTTATGTTCGCACGTTACATCAAAATTTATTCGTTTATAGAAGACATTGTTTGATAATCATCTCGAAATAAAAATATGTTAACATCAAAATGTTGAGCTATCACGTTTTAATGAAAAACAAACCAACACACGCCCGAAACCATTATGGACGATTACATCGGTATAATGCGTTTATATAATGTATCAATACGGATTAAATCAGGGCAGTTTGCAGTGTTTTAGCAGTATGCGTGCTTTTAAAGTACTGAGAACTGTCGGGTCGAATATAATACCTATTACTTGTACCCGTTATTATGTTTTCTGAAAACGAAATGTACCCGATAATCCGATTTTCCGGGGGACAATATCTGACGTGATCGCACATTGACGCTAGCCAAATAATAATTATGATAATGAGTACCCGTCGACGAGTCAACGACCTCTGGGCCATACTGCTTCGGGGGGGGGGGGGGGGGAGGAAAAAATCGTTTGCATTCATTACTTGCACCGTATTTCGTTTTGAACGTGGCGCCTCTAATCCGTGAACTAACTCAGCTACATAAAATAATTAAATACATTTTTTTCCAGGCTATAAAAATTGTCCAGTCTTCTGGATCAATAACGTTGTACCTAGTTATGACCGTGCTAAGAATGATATTACAGAGGATTTATAATGTATACTGATCTTCCTTAATCTAATATTCAAATGTAGTCGAAGACGCGATTTCCAAACTCGTAGTTTATTGATTAAACGTTATTTTCGGAGTATGAATACATTTTTAAAAGAAGTCGCACATTTTGAAAAATTAAATCTTTTTCACTATATCATATCGTACGTAAAAATCCTCATACGTACACACGTAGTATACAACATATTATTATAATACTACATGACTATCAAATGGACGCAATCATAAGAAATATATGTCGAGGGAACTAAGATGGTGGACAACTGCAGACCAATGTAAAGCCGTATTTTGAAATTTGTAGTTATAAATATTTGAAATATTATGATGATAACACCAAAATGATAGCATTAGCGATTCTTGTGCACAACAATAACATCATATTTCTGTATAGTACTTATTATTGTGTATGAAATAATTAAACAAAAAGCTTCTAAGGACGAAGCAAGAATTGTAGCTATATGGTCTACCATTGTGTTACCATTGTTACCAACAATAATAAACACAACAACCGCAATTTATTTGGTCGATCTCGCATGGCTACTTAACATTTGAAATTAAAAAATTTCTATCGTTTTTGTTTTCGTGGGATGAAAATTATGTGTAAATTATAATTTAATACGCGTAATAAAGTCGACGCGGAGGTCATGAAAGCATTATGATAATAATTATAATATTTGCCGTGTACAAAAATTTACGTTTTCCGGAGTGCACGCGAACGAATTTTACTGGGCACTAAATATATTAATATATTTTGGATACTTGGGAGCTGCAGGGTTATTGCAATAATTATACGAACTCGCTCAACCGATTTACGATTGATGAGAACACGACAAAACAAAAACGAGATGAATAAAAACAATGATAAAAACACCAAAAAAAACATATATACCTTCCATCCGACTGTTGTTGATGTTTGTAAGGGTATACTTATGTAATGTGGCGGTAATTGTTTTAAACGGGCTTTTTCGCGTCATCGATGA